TCCCGGTTGCTGGTGAAGGCATTAACCTGGGCACCCACAGCCGCCTCGATTTGCCAGCCCTGCTTGCCTCAAGCCGTGTGTGGTACCACCTCTCTCTCCACCCTACCGATGACTCCCCAGCCAGCTTGGCTGCTTTGCCTTCCGTCACATCTGCTTGGTCGGCTGGTACCGTTTCCCGCCAGCTGCGGGCCTGGCGCCTCCCCGAGTGGGCCAACAGGCGCAACAAGAACCTTGATTTCACCGCCGACTTTGACGTCGAAGAGTTTGTCCAGCGGTACTCGGCGCTCGGATGCAAAGACGGGCGGGATGGCATTGAGACGTGGCTCCTGGAACGTGGCTGGAGCAATGGCGAGGTCATTGTCGGCAAGGAACGTGTCTGGATGCGTGAGTCTGCCTGGTGGGAGGCTGAAAGCATGCTCGACCTCAAACCGTTGAACAACCTCCCCGGCGTTGGCAACATGATGGCTGTCAACCAGCTCGAGTCTGGTTATTCAAACAATGGCAGCGGCTACTTCCCAGGCCAGGTCATTCTTGATGATCACAGCGGGAGCAATGGTGTCGTCAACCATCAGCGCAACTTTAGCCACGGCAACATGTCTCAAGCGACGTTCAACCAGAACCCTGTGGCAGCACCTTCGATCGCACCGACGCGTATGACGGGCATGACGGGCATGCGCAACGTCGCCGTTGGTGACTATGGCCTTGGTCACAAAGGTGACACCCACAAAGGCGCAGTTTACTATAACGAGGACGGTGAATTCATTGGTCCTCTCGACCCTGAACTCGCCAATGGTAAGCAAATTGAGACTAAGTCTCTGCCGATGAAGCGTAGAGTCTGGGTCTTCATCGTCTGGGCTTTCACCTGGTGGATCCCTTCCCCATTGCTTCGCTACGTCGGACGCATGAAGCGGCCCGACGTTCGCATGGCCTGGCGTGAGAAGCTGGTTCTCTGTTTCTTCATATTCCTCATGAACGCTCTAATTGTCTTCTGGATCGTTGCGTTTGGCCGTCTCCTGTGTCCCAACTTCGACAAGGCATACTCTCAGAAAGAGGTTGATACCCACCAAGGACAAAGCGACTTCTGGGTCAGCATTCACGGCAAAGTTTATGACATCTCCAAGTTTTGGAAACAGCAACACTCGGATCAGGATATCGAGACCACACGGGAAAACATGCTTCCACTCGCCGGCATGAATCTCGACGACTATTTCGTTGCTCCTCTGCCCCTGACTTGCCCTGGCCTTGATATCGAGGACACGTTCCGCCTGGATCTCAACAATACCTTGGAATTCCAGATTGCTGATCACACATCTGGTTACTACCAGCCAAACCCTGCTACCAAGCTTCGAGCCGCAGATTGGTACAGCAAACGTTTTGAACCCAGAATCAAGGAATACTTCCACGGCGATTTGGTTTGGTCCAAGGGTACAGTCCGCAAGCAGGGCGAGAACGACGGACGCCAATGGGTCATTTACGACGACAAGATTTACGACCTGACGAACTACTTCTATACGCAGAAGCGACTTAAGAACCTGGGTGGCTCCAACTTCTTGAACGAGAAGCTTATCAACGTGATCAAGCAAAATCCTGGCGCCGATGTGACCGATCAATGGAACGACATCTTGGAACGGGCCGCCGGTAACGCCACTGAAAACCAGAGCGCTCAGAACAGCATGAACTGCATCCGTAACACGTTCTATAAGGGCATTACAGACTTCAGAGAGACGCCTAGGTGTACTGTCAACAACTGGCTGTTGCTGGCTTTCAGCATTATGTTGTGTGCAGTCATTCTACTCAAGTTTGTATCTGCACTGCAGTTCGGTTCCAAGAGGCGCCCTTCGCCGCAAGACAAGTTCGTCATTTGCCAGGTGCCCGCCTACACTGAGGGTGAAGAGTCCCTCCGAAAGGCACTTGACTCTCTCACTGCTCTTCAGTACGACAACAAGAGAAAGCTCATCTGCGTCATCTGCGACGGTGTGATTGTCGGTCAAGGCAACGACCGCCCGACGCCTAAGATTGTTTTGGATATCCTGGGCGTCGACCCCAAGATCGACCCTCCCGCCCTGGCCTTCAAGTCCGTCGGTACTGGAAGCGAGCAGCTCAATTACGGCAAGGTTTACTCGGGTCTCTACGAATTCGAAGGCAACGTCGTTCCCTATCTTGTTGTCGTCAAGGTTGGCAAGGAATCCGAGCAAAGTAAGACGAAGCCTGGCAACCGTGGCAAGCGAGACTCCCAGATTCTCCTCATGAGCTTCCTCAACCGCGTCCACCACCGCTCTCCAATGAACCCTCTTGAACTCGAAATGTTCCACCAGATCAACAACATCATCGGTGTAGATCCCGAGCTGTACGAATACCTCTTCATGGTCGATGCCGATACCTCTGTCCGCGAGGACTCGTTGAATCGTCTTGTTGCCGCATGCGCCAACGATGGCAAGATTGCTGGTATTTGTGGTGAAACAGCTCTGCAAAACGACGAAAAGACCTGGTGGACTATGATCCAGGTCTATGAGTACTTCATTTCCCACCACCTGGCCAAGGCTTTCGAATCGTTGTTCGGCAGTGTCACCTGTTTGCCTGGATGGTACGTTCCTCTCTCTCCCCATCCCACCGTATTTACTGTTGGCTAACAGTCTCTAGTTTCACCATGTATCGCCTGCGTACCGCCGACAAGGGCAAGCCTCTCATCATCTCTGACGGCGTCATTCAGGAGTACAGCGTATGCGATGTCGACACATTACACAAGAAGAACCTGCTGGCCCTTGGTGAGGATCGTTACCTGACGACTCTGATGACCAAGCATTTCCCGTTCATGTCCTACAAGTTCATCCCCGACGCATACTGCCAGACCGCGGCACCGGAGTCATGGAGCGTTCTCTTGTCCCAGCGTCGTCGCTGGATCAACTCAACGATGCACAACCTGTTCGAGCTGATGCAGCTTAAGGAGATGTGTGGTTTCTGCTGCTTCAGCATGCGTTTCGTCGTCTTCATTGATCTCTTCGGAACCATCATCCTCCCCGCTACGTGTGTCTATCTCGGCTACCTCATCTACCTCGTATCCAGCGGCACTGGCCAGTTCCCCTTGATCTCCATCATCATGCTGGCAGCCGTGTATGGTCTCCAGGCTTTGATTTTCATCCTCAAGCGTCAGTGGCAACACATTGGGTGGATGATTATCTACATCTTGGCTTTCCCCATCTACTCTTTTGTTCTGCCGATCTATTCTTTCTGGAACCAGGACAACTTCTCGTGGGGAAACACGCGTATCGTCATTGGAGAAAAGGGCAACAAGCAGATCGTGGCCGTCGACGATGAGGGCTATGATCCCCGCAGCGTTCCTCTGCAGCGTTGGGATGATTACGCCCAGGCCAACCAGCTACCTGGTCGTCGCGGCGGATACCCTGAGAAGTACGAAGGCGAATACCAGGACCAGTACGAGATGGACGAGATGAAGTCTGTCTACTCATCTGTCCGCCAGGGATCCGTCATCACGGGCATGCAAAACCGCCAGAACCCCTACATGCCCCCTCAGTCCCCTGCGCTCTTTGGCACGCCCAGCCCCGGCCACATGACCCGGCATTCGACCATGACTGGCGCTGGACCCTTTGCTGACCCCCATCTGGCTCACCGTCAGTCCATGGCCTCCATGGGCGCCCATGACATCCAGCGAACCCAGTCCCCGTATGCCGATTACCCTACCCGCTCCATGGGCAACCTTCACGGTCACGCCAGCAACCCGTCTCTGATGGGCGGCAACCGCTCTTCTACTGCCCTTGGATTCGCCGGCGGTAACCGCGCTGCGGAGGCTTCGTCGTCCACCTTTGATTTCCAGCGTGGTCTTGCCGGGCCTGACGATGGCATGATCGTCGAAGCCATCCGCACCGTCCTCATGGAGGTCGACCTCGACACGGTGACCAAGAAGCAAGTGCGCGCCCTGGTCGAGCAAAGACTGCAGTCCGAGCTCGTTGGCGAGAGGCGCACTTTCATGGATCGCCAGATCGACCACGAGCTGGCCAACATGTAAACGTAACCTCTGCACTCCATCGGGCTCGCTCTTTTTGATGCCCCGGTGTTTCATTGTCCGGGCTCAACTTGATAAACGATATATAATTACATCGCCACGGCCGCTACTCCTTCGCGGGTCACGTTGATGGGAACCTCCACGACCATGGAGAACGGGATAAAAGGGGATGGGGACGGCACTGGGAAGAATCCGGCGTTCGAGCGAAGTCTGCTCCTGCTACCACATGCGAGGACTCTTTTTTTTATTCTTCCTGTCTCTTGATTTGGTTGAACGTTTTTATCACCTGGTCGTACAGTGTACGGAAATAGTTGTTTTGGACCTTGAGTGCGAGGGTTCACCTGGTGACCGTTTGATCGGTTTCGCAATAATAGGCTGAATTGAACTGCATCCATTGAATACCTTGCCTGCCACGATGAGATGTAGGTAAACGGCCGGAGAACTGCGAATGACATCACATCAGCTACGTGTGCGATGATTGAGGGCTGTACTTCGTCCAAATGGCAGGATACGCAATGACTCCGGCTAGGGGCGGTGGTCTTTACTTTCCTGTGCGTCCCATTCAGTATCAAGCCTAATACAGTGCCCCAGACACGCTTCTCTTTCGCAAGTACACAGCTCGTCATCACACCCTGCACTAGGCAGGAGACATGAGGCAGAAGGGGTACAAGAATGACGTAAATTACTTCATTGTGGAAATGCAAAAATAACCAACGGCTTGCTTTCGCACCAAACACCCGCCAGAGCTCAGCCGGCAGCCCTCTCATCGGGCCCGACTTGGTCGCTCAGGGGTATCTTCTGACTAGGTACTTTTGCTCTCAACTAAACTAAATCACACGACCCTGAACATGTGCCTCGAGATTCACACATTATTGCCCAGGCCTCCTTTGCCTGAGCAACTTGAAAGACCAGTTGGTAAGCGAATCGGGATTTTCACCCGATCAAATCGCCAACAGAGCTCTCTACCATGGCATTTATTTCACTGCCAATAAAAGCGTTGCCCATTGCTCGGAGGATTGGTAGGCCCAGCCTGTGTCGATGGCGGACCATAGCCGTCATTACTATGGTACGATGGCGGGGGTGGGTTCTGCTCGCCATTTCCCCACTGGAGATATTGCTGTTGAGGCTGCTGATTGTGCCCAAATGCCGGCGGGAAGCCAGGTGCAGCTTGGTGGTGTTGTCGATATGACTGAGCATCATCAACTTGCGTGTGGCTATGCTGGTGTTGCCCTCCCAAGGGCGGCGCATGCCCATTATGATCGTGCCCCGGCCGAGAGCCATGAGCCGCGCCTTGCTCATGATCCATCCAGCGTTGCTGTGACTGGCTTGCAAAGGTGTAGTTTCCGCCCATGTTGCCATTCGCCATCGACAACTCGTGCTGTCGCTGCTGGTTCTCAGGGGGCCCACGGTGATATACATTGTTCGCATATGTCCCATGACCCAGAGTGCTGGTTTTGCCCTTTTCATAATCAGCCCAACGCTGCACTGCTTGGTTTTCGGGACCTAGGTAGGATAGTTCGTTGCTGGCATTTGGGTCCCAGATGGGGATTCCGTCCGGGGGTTGAGCCTCGCCTCGAGGCAAGCCTCTGGTGTAGGTCGCAAGGTTCCCGTTGATACCAATGAGAGCCCAGGCGAAGACAGCAACGTCTCGGATCGAACTCATAAGCTGATCCAGAGGCGGACCGCCGACGGCCTTGGCAGCGTCGTCGTAAAGAGGCGGCTGCTGTGAAGTGTATGGCGGCTGGAAGTTGTATTGGACGCCAGACGGATACTCTGGTCGAATGGGCTGCTGGCCCATGGAGCGGCGAAAAGACCATTCTCAAAGCTATGAGGTGGGACCAGCGGCGGGTGTGAGGCTGGAATGGGAGGACGGGCACGACGAAGAACAACGACAAGCCCATCCGACGTGCATGAGACGACGGCCTCCAGCTCCAATGGAGCAACGGGTGTGCGTCTTCGGCGGGCACGGGGTGTAGGGCCAGACTCGGGACTGGGACGGCTTGGCCCTGTGCGCGAACCGGCGCTGGGAGGGGTCTGGTAGGCGCCGCTACTGGAACCAGACTCCATGGCAACTGCGTTGGAGGCGGAACTGATGCTAGACATGGAGTGTTGAGAGTCTTCGTGCTCCATCTTGATCTTCGGGCTAGAGGGTTCGATATCGATGTCCATCTGGGTGTACAGCCGAGCTCCTCCCCCTTCCGAGTCGCTGGAGTTGATGCTTCGACGTTCATCTTCCTCCTCGTCATCATCCTCTTCGTCGAAGTCTTCTTCTCGGCGGGGGTCCCGGTACCAAAAGCGCAGATAGGCAATCGAGTCGTTTGCCTTGGCGCTCTCGAGGCATCGTATGGCATCGGGAAGACAGTTTTCCTGGATACATTCATAGAAACTCTTGTCTTTGATCTGGTCAGGACGTACACCAAGAATGGTAGATACGGCGTTTGTCGCAAACATGACTGTCAGTGTCCTGGTAAATCGGTTCACGATGAGAGCGGCTCTGGGTTCCCGTTCTGTCGGCTGGGTCCGGAACTTGGGGGATAGGTGCTCTAGCATGTGATATCGAGGATCACGAGGAGAGCTCGAGAAGAGCCGTCGGATCTGAGGCGCTTCAATGGCGCGTCCTAATGGGGTTCCGGTCAGCAGTGCAAGAGCAGCTGCGTGATGGTTGGGAATGTGCGCATACTCTCACTCTTCTCGCCTCGCCGATACACGCTGGTACAGGCAACTAGAACATCGTGGACGACTGTGAAGCAGCACTCGCAGCTGACCCACTCGCCGTCGCGTGACAATATGCGAGCATAGTGAAGGACTGCCGCCTTGTCGAGTTGAACGCCGCGGTTATGGACGGAGCGGGCAAAAGGCACCTCTTCAGGGTGGAAGTATTCAAAGCAAGATCTGTCCTGCACCTCGCGAGGGTGATAGCCGAGAATATCGAAGATCGACTCGGAGGCGAAGAGGATATTGGCTTCGGGAGAAAGGTCTGGATACGCACGTGTCAGCCAAAATCTGGGTGCGAATGAAAATAGGATCGAGCGACAAAACGAGGCTGAGCGCGCGGTAGTGGCGTACTGTGAATGGTCATGAAAGTTTGCTCCATGACGATGACGGCGGCAATGGGTCGAGCCGATGAGCGCGAAGAATTTGCCAGTTCGACAATGTGGAAAATAATCGGGCAGAGAAGGGTCAAGCACTTGCGACTTGACTTGGCGAAGAGGTACGGGATCCAGACACGACTCGTGATGGTACGGATCGATTGTTTCTAATGCGAGATGACGAGGAGACTTGTGGGTCGGGGTACCTCAAAGCACTGCAGGACCACTCGAATTCTCGTCGCTAAGCGCGAAGATTGAAGACAGAGCTTCTCAAAGACGTGACAGAATGGCTAAGCGGCGAGGCGTCAGCGAAAAGGGCGGGCTGTTGATCTCGTCACAGCTGACAGCTGTGTCGCTGGGAAGAGACAAGAGGGCCCAGCAACAAGCGAGGGGAGAAGGAAAACGGAGTTGAGGCGATGACAATCGCAGTTGCGGCGAAAGCAATTTGGAGATGGCGGTCGTGTGGTGCGCACGATCGGAGGCAGTGTACCTGATATCGAATGGCACGTCAAGGCGAACACTGAGGGGTATCTGATCGATGATGATGATGTCGGCAGGGTGCTTGACTACTGATCTTCTGATCTGTCGCTGGTTGGCTACCAATGTCTACGAACCGTGGCCTCGAATCAAGCCGGCCGAGACAGTGATGATGTTGGGCCTGAAGGCGAAGTGAATAGGTGATGGATGAAGAGTAAACACACATGCGATTGATGCGCCAACTTGAGCTAGCCTGGCCACAGTTGTCAGGGAAGATGCTGGATAAAATTTGCGCGGGGCTGCGGGAAAAGCCCGCCTGGGGTTGTGGTTGTCGTGACTGCGCTGCGGTTTTCCCCTCCCCAGGACCAAGGATCCAGTACCGACGCCCGAAGGGGGGGGGGGGGGGGGGAGAAAGAGCAGACTGTCCAAGCTGAGGGGAGCCAAGGCACAAGGGTCTGGCTCAAACTGAGCAGAGGCAGTGGGCTGGGGTTGTAAGACGGTGTACAATGTTGTGGCTCGAGTCTAGACTGGGTCTGGTGTGGAAGTTGGCGAGCTTGAGATGTGACAGCAACAAGGCCAGGTATCGTCGAGGTAATTACCGGACCTGGATAAGAGCAGCTGGGCGGTCACAGGCAGTCACAAGCGTCATGCTGTACAGTACCTACCTAGGTAGTAGATAACTACGTATAAGGCAGGCAACTGCTAGGTACCATGTACCTACCTCCAAGGAATGATGGCCGCAAGGATTCAGGGTCCTCCTGGCGGCGCGAGTGGACGGGGAAGTGCAGGCGCGAGTGCTCGGTGCAGGTGCAGGCCGTTGCGCCTGGTCCTGCCGTTGTCGTTTGTCAACTTGCCCATTACCGTTGGCGCACGGCCAGAGGAAGGAGTGGGGGGGAGGCTAAGCAGGAGGCCTAGCAGGTGGCGGACCTTGCCCTAGCACACGCCGTTTCGTGTCATTTTCGGGGCTGATTGCTTCTGGGCACGTCAACAGCTTGGAAGGGATGCCTGTCGTTGTCGTCAGACACAGTCCCGGCACTGTCAGTTGCAGCATCTGGTAGAGGGTCGCTCCCTGAGCTCTGAGGAGCAGGCAAACGCAGCGGGGAGGCCTCATCCACTTCCTTCACGAGAAAGGCCACTGGCGACAACGTCGAACTCGTCATACAAGACCCGATGATTGTCGGGGAGCTCGCTAAGCAACAAAAACCCCCTTTCTTGACTTTGACTGGGTGGCGGAATGTCGAGTCGGTGATTTATCGAAGCCACAGTGTGCGCCGGTTCCTGTATCGCTCTCAATCGGGAAATCCCATGGTCCTCTGTGTGAGACAGCTCGAGGGCCCAGCAAGCCCAGGTCGAGGGCCCAGCTCGAGGGCCCAGCTCGAGGGCCCAGCTCGAGGCCAATGCACCCTGCGGACAATTCTCCTACACCCCCGGTCTCGCCTCGAGGAGAGTACCGCATCGCTCCCGTTGTCAAGCTGGCACCCCCCACAAGCCGCAGTCAAGACGGACGGGCGTACGTACCATAGCCCGCCAGCCCAGTCATGACTCTGGGAGGAGCCGAATCCGAGCAAAAGACGTTCGAAGCACCATGCGCCCCCATATCCTGTCAATTGCTTTTTCAGGAAAAGCTTGCGAGATGCCGGAGATACATCCAATTTGGTCCGTCTCCCCCCGATGTGACAGCGGCTGGGGCATCCCAAAAGCTCGATGAGCCGCAACCCTGACGTGCATGGACATCGGCCGCGCGAGGAAATAGTAATCACCAACTCAGTTGATGCGATGTTGGTCACTCGCTTTCAAACTGTAAATCGTAGTGTAACGGCCTACGACATGTTGACATGACTTTCTTGTCGTCCCTCCCCAAACAGTCGCAGGCTGCATCAGCACCTTGTCCGCGCAAGCTCGGATGTCGGGGGTTCTGTCTGGCCCGTCGTCGCAATGTTGCCCGGAACTCTCTGCCGAGGGCGCAAACAACCTGGCTCGTTCGTCGGAAGAGGGTATATTGTTCCAGTATTCTGCCGCACAGTTGCATCTTCGGCATTACGCAGAGACCAGCGTCAACCCGCCAAGCTCGTTGACGCTTTGTCTAGGTACCTTAGGTAGGTAGGTATTCCACACAAGTCTAAGGTACAGTACAGGTGGGGGCAGTTCACGTCATCCCATGCATCCACACGCGACAACGGGTCATCCACCGCCCAGCGGGAAAAGGGGATCAGAACCATGCAAGCTGTTGACAGAAAATTTGGCACTCTTAAAATCCTTCACCTAACAACACCACTACAACCACCAAAATGACCGATTTTCCACACCATAATACACCTACAAAATCTAGGACCCTAGGGGCTGCTACCTTTGTGGATAAATCCAGAATGTGTTAATCACTGGATTGATTCAATGCCGCAACGGATGAGGGATGTGGTAGCTATGGAGGGTAGAATGGCTGCTAGTTGGTAGATATGAGTGCCCGATATTAAGAGTGCCAGATTTTCTGTCAACAGCTTGCCACGAACCACGAGGTGAGGTACGTGCCACTCTGTCCCCACATGGATGAGAGCGATCCTTAGGTATTACTGGAATGCGTGCATCTCGATCCAACGCGTGTCGCGCCCAAATCCGCCTCCCTCGTGACTCGCAACTCCCCTCCATACGAGCGTGTACAGTATTGCAAAAGATTCAGTCAGCGATATGCCACTGGCTCTCCAGCACAAGGCTACTCCGGCAAGTCCAAGCAACCACATGGCGAAGACCAGTGTACATAGTAACATGGTTGAGCCCAGCTAGAACACGTGGAGAATCGCGGGATGAGCTGGAGTCGGCTTCGGGCGACATCCTGAACATATATTTCAAATCACCGAAACAGCGGATGTTGACAAGCATTGAGGTTCCAGTGATCAACTTCCAATCTAAAGGACGAGATCACTACCTACTGATCTTCAGTCGCCTCGCCTGCCAGCATCAACACGGCGGTTCAAGCTTGCATCGTTCAGTCATGTCGATCTCCAGTAGGTGGTATCTCTTGATACTCATTCGGCCAAGGGGCGTGACGGAGCTGATGAATGCGATCATTGTGCTACGCGACTCGGTCTCCCATCGCGAGCTGTGCCTGCTCAGTAGCGGGACTTCGGTATAGGACGACATACCCATACACTCGGCGAATGTCCCATGACAGACAGGGGTGTTTGGCAACTCCAAACCCGCGTTGCTGATCAGAGTGCACGAGCCTACTATATCCGCGCAGAACGAGGGGATGTATCAGCCCACAGGACCGTACCTTACCCACAATAGTCCATGATCTTTGGCATGTGACATTTTGAACCAAGATCAATGTGTCCTCATAGTCGAATAGAGCAGTACAGCTATAGCATGAATGCTCGAGATGGAGATGATGGGGTGCCTGCGTACTCCTGCTTCTTCTTCTTCAGCCCATCTTTGGCCATTCGCTTCTCTCTGTGAACATCGTACAGCGAAGATAGAATATCTGGTCTCGAGCAGCGATTTTAAGGACTGGGCAGCGTTCTACCTGTTTCCTTTGGCAAGATGATGCTTGGCAGCCAAGAGCAACAGTCATCAACCAATCCAGGGACCCCGTCCTGCCTGTGCTTGAGCTAAGATTGGGCTATGTATCCTCAGAATACCTTTACATTCTACGAAGAATGGCTCTTCTTCAAAAGGCATCATTTGAAGGTAAGAAGTACGAGGTAAAATGCCATAAACCTCGCTGAACATCCACCGAAATTCGAATCACGACCTCCATGGAAAGCTTAAGCTTTCAACAAGAGGCGCAAGATCATCGTCCAAGACTGCGAGTTCATCATCGCAACAGCGCAGAGGCACATCGACCCGATCCCGGCCACACGTATGCGGATCCGACTTTATCATGCCAAGGCTAGAGGACTTGTGAGTTCCTGAATACCTCCATGGGAGATCGTGCGCGCCGAGGCTTTTCACCAAAGCAAACTTTGAAAATTGTCCTGTCCTAACGCCCTAAAGCCTGTTCCATGAGCCTCAATGCTTTTCTTGCCTCCTCCCGACCCGTAAACGTAAAACGTAGACGCCGTATCCTCATAGCTGCGTTGGGCAAACTGTCCGGTTCAATCCATTTTCTTTTCGCTCCTCGTCTTCCGTGCTTTTATGCGGGCATCAACGATCTTTCGGCTTAGCGCAGGCGCCTGGCCTCGCGCTCGGACTCGAGGAGGCAGAGGATGTCGTCCTCACGAACTAGATGGGAATGTTAGCAAAGCTGTGGCTGGCGGCCATAGACAGGATGGAGGCTCGAGGGGTTGCGTACCGGGACCCTTGACGTTGCGAATGATGGAACGGGTTTGGTCGTCCATGAACTCAACGCGAACCTGTGTGACACCACCACGAGAGCCTGGCGCGCGGGTCAGCCTGGGGTGTTTCTTTTTCCTCTTGGTCGCAGTTTCGTCGTGGGGTTTGTCGAGGGCACATACCGGTTCGGCCAAGGACACGAGTGACCTTGACGAGCTTAACGGGAACCTTGGAGGAGTCCATTGTGTACCTAGGCTAGGAGGTTGCGCTGGTGGACGTAGAGGGCGGTATCGCGGGGCGAATGGATCAACGTCTAGATATTGAAATACTGCGTCGTGTTGAGGTTGCACTTGGATGTAGGTATGCGACTGGCCTGTGGTGCTTACATAATACACATATTTAGCCAGGCACAGCCTGGAGACAACAGCTCGATCCCACACCTGTACAAGCAGGTCGGAGAGGTGGAAAGGGTATCCTTACATACTCTCCCTATCTTACCTTACCTACCTATACTTCACTCGCCTCGAGTCACAATGGGTCTCTAAATATTGCATGTCCCGCAAGCATATGGGACGATCTGTCCGCAGTGCGCCTTGTGTGTTTCATCGCGCACCGCAACGCAGAACTGGACCTAGGTACTTGGCACAGAGATTGCACATTCTACCCCGAGAAAGTGGTGATTCTGTTTCGTACCATCGATATCGTTTTGCAATAAGCGAGGCCGGCATGTCAGGGGACGTGTCGTCGGATTGTTCGTGGCCCTCACATGCAAGATGGTGTGTCCTGGAAAGGTACTGTCGATTATGCCAGTATGACTTGATTGAGGGCGAAAAAATATGCTTCGGCTGCAAAAGAGACTTGCTGATGATGTTCCAGTTTACCACTAATAAAGGGCGTAACACAGTGTTCGGTGCTTATGCCACACAAGCCGAAGAGGTTTTCACGATGCCACGCAACATGACAAGGGTTTACTTCAATTGGTGGGACAACCCGGGTGTGCATGCAGGTCTCGAGTATGTCGCTCTCGAACCAATAGCTCAACAAAGAAGCCGTTCACTATGAAGCCCCGGAGCTTCCGATTGCCCTAGGCGTGCACTGCCGCAAGCCGCTCTTTCACGCATGGACGCGAACAGCATGCTCTTTGGATCAAGTATCTGCAATCCAGCCTTGCATCCAGCGCACCGCGCTCTTCGTTCGTGTCACCGGGATGATAGCTCGCTACACGAATGGGCATCGCGAATGCGTTGGACAGTTTCGACCAGATTGGGCAGCTGGATGGACTCCCTTGAGTGAAAAGAATACACTTTACCTTCGCTATGCCCGGGTTTCTCGAGGAATATTCACCATTACTTCGGTCGCATCACAAGTACCATGCGAAACCGACAGTATTGGTTGGAAAGGTGTTCCGCTGTCTGGCATTCTAGAATGGTGGTTCGCTGGTGGTCACCCGGCCTTGTACCATACCTAATGGCAAGGGTATTGAGATGCCTGATGAAGTACCAAGCCAGTAGCGATGTTCGTGTGGAGGGTCAACTACGGCCAGACATAATGCACAGGTAGTGAAGTTATTACTTCGCGAACGAAAGAGTAGTGATGTTTGACAGAGCCCACGACTCTGCTTCAGTGCTCCAATCGAGTGCCTCGCCACTACCCCATAATGGGGAGTTTGCTGACCATCTGCAAGACGACATTGCTCCGCATGTAGAGGATGCACGCCACGATGCAAGCCCTGGAGGTCAGCCCATGATGAATGGGTTGAGGTTGAAGGCGCTGCCTGGAATGAAGTCGGAAGGCACGTGATGTGGTTTGCTGGTAGGTGCGTCGGCGCACGAATAACCCCTCAGGCTTTATACATCTCCCAGCTACAGTGGACTCAGGCGCACTCAGGCCGTTGCTGTGCCTGCGAGCTACACCACAGTGCACTGACCAGCAATATTGACCTTGCAGTCGCCCTCAACACCCTAATCTGTTTGGCTCACGTACTAGGACGCTGGGATTGGCATCTGGGGCCTCCACGAGAACCATTTGAGACCAAAGGCGAATGATCTCGCAGCCTCGACGACGTCGTAACAAACATCACGTCTCATCGCCTGAGCGTGTATGTCTTTCCTTCTGACCTCGTCATGGCAATAAGTCGAAACGATGCCTGCCTCTACCCCAGAAACCCACCCCTACGACCTTCCAAAACTACGCGTCTCATTCACGCCAGAAGTATGCAGGGGCAAGAAATAGACCAATAATGCGCAACATCTAACAATGCGGTTTAGGATGACACGCGATTCCTCTCACAAGAGGACAACGTACCAGGTTATTCATGGTTCTTCTCCCTGTTGAAGTTATTGGGCTGACCAGAGACAGAGTATTTTGCTGTCCAGTTTTGCCCGTATCAGCCAGTCGACGCAGATCCAGTATTTGCCGCTGTCAGCAAGAAGCACGTGAGTGCAACCTGGAGTCTCCTTTTCGCGATCGATTCGGGTGATGTCGTGTGCTGAACAGCGAGTAGGTTCTTCTGTGCCGGTTGACGGCCAGCGACGACACCCAACCATATACCATCATCAAGGTCATTCGCGATGACGATGTGCGTACCCGTGAATCAATGGGCCCTCCCTCCACTGACTCGACAGGCTGATTCTCGAAACTACACCTGCACTTGGTCGCAGGATAAGGAGACAGGCAAGCCATACCTGTGCCTCAGTGGTGAGGATGCCAAAATCAAGATTTACGATGTCACTGAGGGCACGCTCGTCAACGTGGGTTGCTTCCCCGAGAGTATTCTGACGATGCAAAACTGACTTCAAACAGGTTCTGGTCGGCCATGGAGGCGTGAGTGCCCTTTTGGCCATGGAGTGAAGACAGGATCTCACTATCACAGGATATCAATGACATGGTCACTTCGCCGATCAACCCTCTCGTCATTGCAACTGCTTCAGATGACACGACCATCCGCATCTGGAGTTTAGATCCCGACCATAAGGACATGCCATGCCGCTGTATCCTTGGTGGCGAAGGTCACCAATGGAGTTTGCTGACTCTGGTACGAGCCGCAAAATCTTGTTTGGATGTAGGTCGACACACTGACAAGCACGGTGTAGGCGTTCCATGACAGCGGACGTTACATGCTCTCCGCGGGGCATGATCAGATTGTGAATCTAGTCAGTTTGTGACGGCTACCTTTAGGCCTTTACAGCCTCTTTGAATTGCTTGCTGACAACCTATCAGTGGACGCTGCCAGACCTTCCTGCGGGAACTATCCAGCAACCTTTGGAAGTCCACTATCCTCACTTCTCCACGAATGAAGTCCATAGCGGTGTCGTCGACTGGTATGTCGGCCCCAGCACGGACGAGACCAAAGCTGACCTTGCAGCGTCGCCTTCTTCGGCGATTGGATCCTCTCTCGTGCCTGCCACGACGATATCATTGCACTCTGGCGCATCGAAGGCTTCTCTTCCAAAGACCCACCGCCTCCCCCTGAGTCAGCCCCGACGACCATCAATCCTGAGATGCTGACGCGGTCCGCCTTCACCAAGGATTCGCCTGACCAGCACGCCTCACATTCCCAGTACACCCGCCTCCTCACCTTCTTCACCCCCGGGTCTGGTAACATGTTCTTCATGCGGTTCAAGCTCCACCACATGCCCGGCCATCACCCAGTGCTCGCGTTCTGCAATGCTAATAGCAAGATATTCTTCTGGGACCTGACCCGCATCACGAGCTACCACGACTGGACCCGAGGGCTCATGCGCGCCAACGGCGACCGAGCCCTCATGCCCGAACGCCCGGCCTGGCTGACACCCATTGTGCATCGCGCCAGACCGGAGGGTAAGCAGAAGCCCGAGCTTACGGTTCGCGAGCGTAGGGCCGCCGACGCGCCACCCAAAGGTATCGAGCTCATCCCCGGCATGGCCGAGTTGTACAGCAAGGAGACGCTGCAGTCGTGGGACGGCAAGTACAATGCCGGCGACCCGCACACACCGCTGCAGGCCCATCGTGTCGAGTCGATCGGCGTCAAGGGGTTTGTTGGACGGTACGCGGCATGGAGCCCCAGTGGCGAGTGGTGTGTGATCGTTGGTAGCATCAACCTCGGCCTCATCCTGCAGCGGTGGGCGCCGGCGTGAGGCTTGCCGTAGGAAGAGGGCTAGAAAGTGTTCATCCCAGAGTTTCGAATAATCATTTCTCTCAGTTGTGTGCAACGTCCTTTCGTGACCTCCGCCTTCGACGATGGCGCTGGGACGGTGATCTTGCAGGCTGCGAATTCTACCCACCAACCCTGTGATCCCGAATCGGTAGCGATGCAAAGGTGGGCCTGGTAGGGCCCTCACTTCCTTCGCGGTCCATGTCGAGGGCTCCGTGCATCGCGTGATCGAGCTTTCCGCCCAGCTGCTCCATGGTGCGGAAGAACTTCATGGCTATCTCGCCTTCAGCCAACTTTTTGGCCTCCGCTTCTTGCCGGTCTTCTGGACGACGACAGTCCGCCGGCACAAGCAGGTCGGCGATGTACAGCGAGACGATCCCGCGCAGCCGCTGCAGCTCGGGGCTTCGCGAGAACGGCAGACTGTCCAGTAACTTGTCCATGCGCGAGGCGAGCTCGCGCATTCCGTCAAGGGTCTTGGCACGGATGTCGTCTCGCGCCTGGCGCATTCGCTTTTCGCGGGCGTCCACCAAGGCATCGAGCCCGCGAGGCCTGCCTCTGGAACTGTCGTCCGGGTTGAATGGGTCTCTGTCTTGCGGGTCGAATTCATCGTCGGCCTCCTCGTTGTACATGTCCATATCCGGATCCATCTCCCAGCTCTCCGCGTCGGCACGTAGGTCGTCCAGTGCAGCGGTGTGTTGGGCGTGCATCTGGCTGATCTCGTAGCTGACCTGCGCCGGCCAGAACTGCAGCGCCGAGGCTGCCTTTCTCGCGCCGAGATGGTGGGGGTAGTTCCGAATGAGGCCCTGGAAGTATTCCTTGACCTGCGGCACATTGGAGATCGGATAGCGGTGCTGCTGCTTCTTGCGGCGCCTCTCTCGGGACATGTCGCTGTCGTCCGTCGGCGCCCACGCCGCGTTCTCCTCCGACACGGGCTCGCGCATGAGGATCTCGGCACCGAGCTCCCAGTAATGATTGCGCCGAATATCGACCGGCTTTCCGGAGACACGAGAGCGCATGAGAAGGCCAAAGGCGCGCTTGGCGGCGAGGATGTCGCCGCGGGCGAGGAAGACGGCGATGGAGCGAGCCAAGGGCTGAAGAGCGGCGCGCTCCGCTGCATACGACTGGGGTTTGGGGAGGGACGACTCGTGCCCTGATTCGGCTTCTGTCTCGAAATCGGTCTCGGCGCGGGAGTCCTCTGCGTCTGTGTCTGTATCGGCAACAGGGGCGGTGGAAGGGGCTTTCCACCGACGAGGCTTCTGTCGTCTCCTGGTGTCCCGGTACGGACGATGAGGAAATCCAGGCTGCTGAAGTGATGGAAGCCGATCATGTTCGGTGAGACCGGCGGCCAGTAGCTGCTTAAGATTGCCGGGAGTGTGACTGAGGGGGTTGATGATAGCGTCTGGGAGGCGGGTGACGATAGGAGGGCTGCTGTTAGGGGATGAGGGCAAGCTGGCGGCTCTCTTGCGTTTTCGAGGGGCGCTTGAAGATTCCATGGTGATCGGATGTGTGATTTCAAAAGTACGCGGTCAAAATCGTGTGACGTATTCGCCTTGCCGATGCTGGTAAGAACATGAGCCAGGTAGGTAGGTAGGTAGGTAGGTAGGTAGTTGACGATTATGGCGTGACTGAGATTACTGCTGCCTTGGGTATGGAGATGGCAGCCTAGACAACGTAATGAATCACGGCTGACATCTCAACATCATCTCATTTAATCAGAGAAAAGCCTGCTTCCTGGGCTGGCGTACAGTTGCCGATGGGAACAGCAGTGTTGATGAGTTGAAGATTCAGGTGATGATTTTGAGAGGGTGGATATATCAGGAGGTCATGGGTGTGTCTTTAGCAGCATCTCGGATACCAGGAAAAGCCACAGTTTAGCCGCCACTGGTGGTGTGGGGCATTCCCAACGACATGGATCAACACCATGTATCTCGAACCTTGTGCATCCATCCATTGCTTCTGTCTTATCATCGATCCATTCCAAATTACGAATATCGAGAGCTCGCTCTTTGTGGCTTCATAGACCGCCTGTGTTATTGATATCAAAGTATCCCTTAAGTGGCCCCACGCGGTCGTTCTTATCCACCACCGCAATGGGCGACGCTAGAAATGACAAGGCGTTCAAGTATCGCCAGGAGATCAGTCAGGTAGGCACCCCACGTACCCTATTCGTCAATTCTTTCCCACCGCAAATGCGCCTGTATTATGTTACTGGAGGCCATGGGAGCGAGCCTTCGAATGCGCGTCGTGCCATTTGTGGGGTGATCAGGAGATCACTCAGCGCCGCCTGCATGGCCACTTGCTTCGACTCTGTCCTTGTGTCCTCCCCGGTATCACTAGGTGATCCATGACATGCCAGGATGAAGAAATAGTAAAGTGAGAAATGCCAGCGTCGATGCGTGGCGCAATCACTGCTGCGGCAACGAAGCGGTTTGCGGTGAAGTGGACTGCCAAATAGAGGCTGCTTGTCACGAGAAGGCTCTTTACAAGTCACGTCGAGAATCAAGCAACAATATTCAGGTCGGACATTCGTCGCTGCCTAAACCATTCATCGCCGCCTATTCAAAGTACCCGCCGCTGCTGGCTCCATACTCGGGGGGCCTACCATTCAAAATGTCCATGCCAAACAGGGATATGCATGCCATCAGCTCGACAACGCCGACAACACCAACAACTATCATTTTCCTGTGACTTGTCACCAGGCCAAGTGGATATCTTGGACATCGGCCGCCAACAATCTCACATCCTCAAACCGCGACAGGCCCTCGTCAGCCCGCGCTGACCTGGACGCTGATTCATTCCAACGACGGCTTCTTGATCCACCTCCAGAACCAACCGTTCGCTCCACAAACGAGTGCTCATAAACGGTCGAAGGGCTATGCCCTCCTTTACGAATCATACAATTCTCTCGCAGAAGTCCAACAGTCATCATGAGTGGCATTTCCAACCAAGGCCTGATCGACTTCCCCGCAGGCGCGACGTCGAAGTCTGGCCCGAACCACCCCACCCCGCGGCCTGGATCCTCAAGAGGAAAGCGCAAAGGTCGCCCTCGTGGTGCCAGGACCCTGGCCCTGGCATGCAGTCAGGCGCAGCAAGAAGCAGGCGAATTGTTCCAGACAGCATTTGACGATACGGTCGGCGCTTGCTTCCACTCTGGCTTCCAGTCAATCGACAATGTTGCGGTGTCGACAGACGGCCCTCCACCCAGAGACTTGACCACAGAGCCTCAGGAGCTTACACTGTTCTATCATGACATGGAAATCCACTTGAACGACATTTGTTTCTTGTCTGACGACTCGTTCTTGTTTGATGAAGAAACGGCTGAAGACTTCCGAGTGCGGCTTACTGACATAATCCGACAGATGATGTACGTCTCTGGGGAGACTGCTGAACCTTCTGTCGAGACAACAAACATTATAGAGGGCATCGTGCGTGAGCAGGTTGTCGAGCTAGTGGGTCATCATTCACGCACAGCAGGTTCAAGGTTCAACATTAACCGTCCCAGCTCAAACAATGCACCGACCAGGCGGCCCGTCGTGGATCTCGGTCCATCAATATAAACGACTTGATTTTCCAGATCCGCCACGACACCGCAAAAGTCTCTCGTCTCCGCACCTTCCTCTCGTGGAAAGACGTTCGCAAGAACGTCAAGGACTCTGATGACAAGGGAGGAGACGCCGACCTCGGCGCCGGCGAAGATCCCGTCGGCGGTGTTGCAGCCGGGGGTCCGGTGGATGATGCCGCAAAAAAGAACAAGAAGGCCAAGGTCGGACTTCCCTGGGAGCCGTCATCGTTCTACCCCGTCGACGTACCCGAGCGCGACGACGAGGAAGACGAGGAAGAGGAAGAGATGAACTTTATCACTCTGCAGCGCCTGCGCAAGGCTGATGAACGCACGAAAGCCATGACAAAGGAAGAATACGTCACATGGTCCGAGTATCGACAGGCGTCGTTCACATACCGCAAGGGCAAGCGGTTTCGCGAGTGGGCCGGCTTCGGCATCGTGACGGATAGCAAGCCGTCGGACGATATTGTTGACATTCTCGGCTTTCTGACGTTTGAGATGGTGCAGACGCTCACGGAGGGAGCGCTCAAGGTCAAGGAGCAGGAGGATCTCGTCAAGGCGCAGAGCGGCGGTGGCGGCGGAGTCGACGGCGAGGGCGCATCGAAGAAGCGCAAGGCGCAGCAGGGTCTTTTTGATCCGCCCAGTGAGGGAAAGACGCCCATTGAGCCGCGACACGTCCAGGAGGCGTTCCGACGGCTTCAGCAGCGGCCCAAGAAGATCAGGGCCATGCTCAACGGCTCAAGGCTGCCGATACACACCAATCTCAATATTGTGAGTTTGCCATTCTGTTCAACCTTGGTGGCGCACGTTGGCTAACCATTTGCAGATCTGAAGACAGTGGCGGAGCGTTTTGGTTCGGGCGTTTGGGCTTGGTTCAGTCCGGTTTGTACAGAGGGGAGATACCCACGGCCCTTGTATAGGGATTAGCGTTATTCGTTCAACGTTGGCTGATGAAGGTGGTGGTTGCTCGATGAGAGGTTAGGCTAGGGTTGTGCGACTTTGGATGGAGAAAGCAATTGATATCATTTTATTGACGAGTCATGCTTGATTTGGGATATGCTGCAAGTATCGAGTCGTGATGCATCGGTTTCATTTGAATACAAAGCTCATCTCTTGACTTGTCAAATTTGGGTGTCTAACTAACCCAGCTCCTATTTTCAGCCAAGCCACAGGTAAGGCTGCTCTCCTCAGACTTCTCCGCCCACAGCCGAGACATCCATTGCTCAACTTGGCGCCGCGAACAGGAGCAGCCCGAGACTCTCCTGCAAGACCACCCATCTATAGACGGCTCTGTTGAAGGTGGGCAAGGCAGCACGTGTGAATTCGTCGTTCCGAAGACCTCATGTGGGTTTTTCTGGTTCCGTGCACAAGTCCATGCCGCTGCCAGCTCGGCTTCCGTAGCCGACTCAAGGCCATCGGCCTCGAGGCTTGGCGCGGCGATCGGCATCCGTGCCGTGCTGTACGTTTCCGCCGCATTCATGGCAGGTGTCGCGGGCTCAGACGGAACTTGGCATGGACCCATCCATCGGACGCCTTTTTGTAGTTTGACCAACTCATGGCATCATGTCGAGAGTCCACCACTCACGACGGCGTCGCCATGCGCGTCTTGAGCATGCCCAGCTCGGAGCTCTTGGCCCACGCCCCCTGCGGCGTCTGCCGGTAAAAGACCAACTTGCCGTCGTCGCCCGTGCTGCCGAGGATCTGGCCGTCGTCGTCAAAGTCGACGCGCCACACGGGGGTCCGGTGACTGTCGAGCTTGGCGACCTCGCGCACGACGTGCGCCACCTGGCCCGGCTGGCCCGACGACTGCCGCTCGGCGGTGGCGCCCGACTTGGCGAGGCTCGCGCTGAGGCCGGACTGGTGCTGGTGCTTCTCGTGCGAGGGGCCGATGGCGGCGGCGAGGGCCTCGCCGCCGGCGCCGGCGCCAGCACCGCCGCCGTTCTGGGTCTCGCGGCGGACGAGATCGGCGGCGGCCCATGTCTTGCCGTCGTTCTCGTCGTAGGGCGTCTCGACGCGGAAGACGCGGACGTAGCCGTCCTGGCAGGCTGAGGCGATGGTGTCGTAGCCGCGGACGTTGCCGGGGGCCCAGGCAATGTCGCGGACGAGGCCACGATGGGCGCCGGGGCCGATCTCGGCGGCGAGGTAGAACTCCTTCTGAGCCTGCGGCACGCCATAGGAGGCTGTGATGATGTCGCGGGAGCGGTAGAGCTTGACGGTGCCCATGGCGGCGACGACAATGGCGAGAGAGTCGGTGGGGACGCCGGCGCGCAGAGCGGTGTAGCAGGGGTCAGGGTTGGGGTCGAACTCGACCTTGAAGCTGACCTCTTCGCCGCGCGCGGGCTTGGGGGCGACGGCAAAATCGTCGATGAGGGTGTACTCGGACAGATTCTCGGGCTGATCGTTCTCGTAGACGGAGAGGCTGCCGTCGGCGGCGAGGAGGGCCAGGTAGGTGTGGCGCGTCTCCTCGTTGTGCTTGATGGAGAAGGAGCGGTAGGGAGCCTTGTTGGAACGCGTCTCGAACGCGGGCTTGCCGGAGAGGGTACGAGAGGAGCCAGCGCTGAAGCGGCGGCCCGGGGCAGCGGACGGGTCTTCGGCCCAGAGCTTGAAGCGGCCGTAGCCACCGAGGGAGGCCAGCAGATTCGGGTAGACGGTCGGAGGAAGCCACTGAAGCTCTAGAGTCTCGCCGCCATGTGCGCCCCAGGTGTCGCAGAGGCGCCAGACGCCGTCCTTGTGGCGATTGAAGACTCGAATCTTGCCGTCGACGGCGCCGGTCGCGCAGCGATCGCCATAGGCATTGAAGGCGACGGATTGGACTAGGTCTCGGTGGCCGTGGGAGAGGTTGAGGTCGAAGCCGGCGCGCTCTTCGGCGACAAACGGCGGTTCTGGGGGATGAGCCATTGCGTCGGCTGTGTGACGATGGTGATGTCGGGGATCAATGACCAAGGTCCCTGGATGTGCGGAAGAGAGCAGCAGCTGCAGCTGTGGGAGCTCAATTGACAGAGGTAACGTCCAGTTGTAGCTTGGAGCATTGGAGCATGGGAGCATGGGAGCATGGGAGCATGGGAGCATGGGAGCATGGGAGCATGGGACGCAACCCCACGCTGCAGGAGCCTCGACGCACAGGCCGCGTGACGGTATGAACCCCGGGGTTTCAAGAGGCTCTAAAGAGAACCCCCTAAGAAACCCTCTTCGATGAACCCTCATCCATGGAGTAGACCCTCCCCATGACGATGATCATCAAGAAACCCTCAGCCTTGTCTGTCCATTCTTCAGACACATATCACTTTCACTCTACATCAAAGGCTTCCAAATACCCACAGCCAAGCGGTTACCATCTTTGATATAATATCCCCCCCCAGACACAGAGCACCATGAAGGGCCCCTCCATAGCTGCGAGCATCCCCCGATTGAAGCTCTCCTCCGGCCATGTAAGCCACCCTCCATGCTCACCAAGTCCATACTGACGTTTTTCCAAGTACATCCCGCAGGTCGGCTTCGGCCTGTGGAAAGTCCCAGCGGCCCAGACCGCCGATGCCGTCTACGGAGCCATCAAGGCCGGGTACCGCCACATCGACGGCGCCTACGGCTACGCCAACTCGGCCGAGGCAGGCCAGGGGGTGCGCCGCGCGATCGCCCACGGGCTCGTAAGCCGAGACGACCTCTTCATCACGTCGAAGCTGTGGAACAACCACCACGCGCCGGCGCACGCGACGCGCATGGCCAACGAGGAGCTCCGCGCCTGGGGCCTCGACCACCTCGACCTCTACCTCATCCACTTCCCCATCGCGACGCAGTGGGTCGACCCGTCCGTCTCGCGCTTCCCCTCGTGGCACGCCGACGCCGCCAAGACGCGGCTGCACCCGCGCGCCCGCGTGCCCCTAGCCGACACGTGGCGCGCCCTCGAGGCCCTCGTCGACGCGCCGGGCGTCCGCGCCGGGCCGCTGCGCTCGATCGGCGTGTCCAACTTTGACGCCCAGCTGCTCTGCGACCTGCTGGCCTACGCGCGCGTCCCGCCCGCCGTCCTGCAGGTCGAGCACCACCCCTACCTCGCGCAGCCGCAGCTCGTGGCCGCGGCGCGCGAGACGGGCGTCGCCGTCACGGCCTACTCGACCTTTGGCCCGCAGTCGTTCCTCGAGCTCGGCAACCCGCGCGCCGCCGCCATGCCGCCGCTCATGGACGTGCCCCTCGTCAAGGCCATCGCTGCGAGGCACGGCCGGACGCCCGCCCAGGTGCTGCTGCGGTGGTGCACGCAGCGCGGCATCGTCGTCATTCCCAAGTCGATGCGGGCCGAGAGGGTGCGGGAGAACCTCGACTGCTGCGGGTTTGACCTCGAGGCCGCGGAGCTCGAGGCCATTTCGGGTCTGGATCGGGGGTTGAGGTTTAATGACCCGGGTGTGACACATGGCGGGTCTGTGAGGATATTCACTTGAGGATATGCCACCGAACCAAGGGGTATAGCTACGGTTCCAGCGCGGCCATGGCTCGACAGATGTAGGATCAGACCAACTGGTGGGTACTTTGACAACGATGGGGCAGGTACATGGTCATCATGATGAATCTTGATTCGAGTCCAAAGTCCTTCATTAGGACATTTACCTCAACGCTGTCTAATGTAATGCAATGCCTAACATTCCTGACTTACCTTTGGACCGTCTGCCTCGCTCAGCTGACGAAATTTACCTGACAACTCTCTTCCAGGCATCCCAACCTGTTCATCAAGACGTCTTCACATCAACAAGACGACGCCTCCGTGTCCCCCTTGTTATCCTTGAAAGCCTCCGCATCAGCAGCCTTCCCCGGCCCCTGCTTTTCCTTCTTGACGCTCCTCCACTCGACGCACAAAGCACACGCCAACGTCACCAGCGCCAGCCCCATGCCGGCCAAGAAGATCCTCGTACACGCAAAGTTGTACGCCGCAACCACAACATCGAAATCCTCTGATGGCACGACATTGTGCAGATCCGTGGCGCCGCTCTGCACAATCGCATCGGGGTCTAGGCCCGGCACGCTCGACAGACGGTCAACGAGTAGGTTGCTGAGAATGGCCTGCCCCACAGCCAGGAACACGGCGCCGCCGAGTTGCTGTCCGAAAAAGGTTATGGCCAGACCGGTTGATACGTCCTCGCGCGGCAGGACCGTCTGCACGGCCAGGCCGACTGTCTGCATGCCGAAGCCGAGACCGAAGCCCGTGAGGAACTGGAAGCCGACCCAAGCGGCTGTACTGCTGCCAGGGTGCAAGGTGCTCAGGAGACCGAGACCGACAGCCATGATGGAGGGGCAGAGGAGCATGGCGGGGGTGTAGTAACCGATGCGCTGGGTGATCAGCCCGGACATGATGGAGGAGGCGACGAGGCTGAGGACGAGTGGGAGGGTGTAGATTCCTGACTGGACAGGATCGAAGCCTTTGACAGTTTGAACTGGACTTGGTTAGCCAATGATCTATCTGCAAGGGGGACGAAGAATATCTGCAAGGGGGACGAAGAAAACTTACACCACAAGGGCACATAGTAGACTGCGAGCATCATGGAGCCGGCGAGGAAGATCATGAAGAAAGTGCCCGCGAGGACGGTTCGTTGGGAGATGATGCGCACTGGGACCTGCGCTGTGTCGGGCATGAAGATCTGGATAGCAGCAAAGGCAACAAAAGCCAGGGCGAACACGACAAAGAGGGCGATGATGCGGCCGTTGCTCCAAGCATAGGTCGCGCCACCCCATTGCAGGGCCAAGAGGAGGGCGACAATGGAAGGGATGAAGAAGAAGGATCCCAGGGGGTCGAGGCGGGTGATGTGCTTGGTCAAGGACACGGGCTTCGAGGGCTTCTGGGGCGCTTGGAGCATGAAGAAGAGGAAGATAAAGGCGACACCTCCGATGGGCAGGTTCATGTAGAAGCACCAACGCCAGGTCGCGTTTCCAGCGAACGCGCCGCCGACAAGAGGTCCGATGACGGCAGCGACGCCGAAGACCATGCCAAAGACGCCCTGGAACATGGGCCGCTTGTGGAGCGGAACGATGGTGATGAGAATCATCATGGAGCCGGTGAAGATGCCGGCCGAGCCAAAGCCGGCAACGGCGCGACCGGTGATGAGCACTGCCGAGTTGGGAGCAACGCCGCACAGGAGAGAGCCGATCTCAAAGACGACAATGCTCGCGAGGTAGACGACCTTGGGGCTGTAGAACTTGTAGATGCGACCGAAGAGAAGCTGGGAGGCGGCGGTGGTCAGCATGTAGGCCGAGCCGTACCAGCCAATGTCGCCGAGGGACTGAAACTCGTCGGTGATGCGAGGGATGGCGGTGGCGATGATGGTGCGGTCGAGGGCGACGAGAAACATGGCGACAAAGTTCGAGGCCATGATGAGCCAGAACTTGAGCGTCTTGGGCTGGTAGTTCTTCTCGGCCTCATGCGTGGGCGGGCCGGCGGCAGTGAGCGGGGGCGTAGGCGGTCCATGGGAGCTGACGGTTGGGGAGCTGACGGTTGGGGAGCTGACGATCGAGGAGCCGACAGTCGAGGACCTTGAAGATTCCTTGGTCGTGTGCTTCTCGTCCATACTGTCGAGACTCGACTTGTGCTCGGTCGGTATTGTCGGCATGAAAGAGATATATATATGCCAAGGTCAAGAGTGGGAAAAAGAGGGCGAGGTTAGAGATGTGCAGGAGAGAACAAAAAAAAAGGTGAGCCTGCATGAAACGACAGCCAGCAACAGGAACAGAGGAAGCAGACGGCGTCCAAGTGGGTGTGTTTAGATTGCTATGGATGCTGGTGACAAGGCCAGACTCTGGGACAGGCAAAGAGGCAAAGGGAAGAGAGGCTGAAGAGTATACATATAGATGCTCCCTTAGCTTGGCTTGGCCTGCAGCATGGCATCGGAAAGCAGATCCCCCGTCGGTACTCCGTAAAGGTTGCCTGTCAGGTTGCCTGTCAGGTTGCCTGTCAGGTTGCCTGTCAGGTTGCCTGTCGACGACGAGGGACCATACGGCTGGGCGTCGGGTGGCACAGACATGGTGAGGTAACCGAGCGGGTATCGAGGAGGGTCTGGATGTGGATGATGGATGCCTGCTGATTGACGGAGGAAAAGAAGATCTTTGGGTGAGACAGAGTGATGGAAGGAATGGGAGTGGGTTAGGGGAGTTGTAGTTGACGATGGACGAGAACGGATACTGGGTTGAGCCACATACGAGTGGAGGGAGTGGCGCTGGGGCACACCAGACCTAATGAGGCTTAGCGGGATCGAAGCTCCAGGCCTCGCTCGGTCCCGAAGGATCACACAAGTCACCGACATTCCTGTTTGCCCTGTTTGCCTGGACCTGGACCGACCTGGACCGTACCTTTTTCTACCCGACACACCGCCGCCTGGACTTTGACATTTCGGGACCGAAACTCTCCCCTCCCCTTCCCCTTCCCCTTCCACACGCACGCGAGCTTGGCAATCTCGCCATTGATGCATGCGAGCGAAGAGCCACAGCCAGAACGAGGCACCGAAAACGTGCCAACCCCAGTGCACCAGAAGGCGCCACGACAAGGCCAGCCGCCCAGCCGCCCAGCCCAGCGAAAGCAGAGGCCACACAGGGCATTCCATCAAACCGGGGCAAATCCCATCAGGCCATCGTCTCAACTGCCTGTTTGCCTTTCTTCCCTTTTCGGCGAAAGGATCGGCTTCGCTTTGAGCTGGCAGTGCCTGAACCGGCTCTGGTCTGTCCAGCCCTGCCTACCTACCTACCTTACCTTACCTCAGGTAGCCTCATAGACGTCAACTCGTCCCCCGTCGAACATTCCATTGTTGCCATCAGCTATCAGGCAACAGACAGTTAGGCATCATCGAGCAACAGAAGACGCACTCGATCGATACCTGAACCCCCAGCACGTCACGTCGCCCGCATCCCCGCTGCATGCCTTCGTCCTTGCTCGCCAATCACTCTTTGACGGTCGACTCTGCGGATACCCGCCCTCACGGGCTCACTGGTCGTCGATTTGCCAATCCCCTCTTCCTGTTCCTGTACGACATTTCCACGCCAGACTCTGCGAGCTCCTCCTGCCCATCCATCCTCGGGACCGAGATCGATCGTCGCGCCGGCTCCACTCGCTCGACGCCGCCTTGCTCTGCTGGGGCGATCCCATCCAACGTC